GAGTCCTCCATGATGAAATGTTCATTAGATCGCCTGATCTAATCAAGGGCTACTACTTCCCTTCGCTAGTCACCCGACTGTGCCGCCTTGCTAAGGTCCCTGAGAACCTTCAAGTTGATGGGAAGTTACCTCTGAAGGCCCCATTCCGGGCAAAGAAAATTGGACTTGAGAGAAGAGAGCCAGTGACGGACAGTGATGACTCTACTGATGAGTCTGATGATGATGCTGGGGCAGCTGAGGTCACCGCACCTACTAGAAGGGACGAGGCAGGCCCATCACAGCCATGCCAGAGCACTAGCATGGCAGCTTTAGGGCAGGAGTTGACTGGGTTGCGTACCTCAGTCAATGATTTGAGTGCCCGTGTTGAGGAAGTGGCTGACAGGCGGGTGAAGTCAGAAAAGAAATTCTTAGGCTGGTTGTGAGCGCTGGGTCGTGCGTGCAATGTGAACCCAGACACCGTCTCTGACCAGGAGTGAGCCTCAGGGAAGTTCCTTTACCTTACTGTTCTTTACATTTGGAAGCCATGGGGCCATGTCTTCGTTTTAAGTGTGGGGTGAGGGATACTTCATTGTATGTTTGTAATTGTAACAATTAACTGTTTGCGTTGGTTGTTTTGTTGCTTTGACTGTTTTGCTGTTAGAATAGTAGTTCATTAGGTAAGTGGAAATAGTAAGTGACTTGTCCCGACTACGGATCTCTTTCGGCGGGGTTCTTGAGGAACTAAGTCGAGAAAAAAAATGGAATATAGAGACTCTTCCTGATGATGGATCCTTTTGACAATTTTCTTGAGCGAAGTTAGTCTAGAGAAAATACCAAAAAGATTTTTTATTTTATTTTTTAGGTAGTGTAGTAACTCTCCCTTGGTTTTTCTTTGGGCCACGGTTATTTTCCAAGGGTTTAGCTTGAACCGGGTATAGGTAGTTTTGTTTTTTTTGTTCGTTTTAGTTTTAGGTTACAAGCTAAAATAAAAAAAAAACCTTAGCGTTTCTACACCTGAACACGATAGACACTAGCGTGTAACGCTTAGCTTCAAGGATTGAATCTTGTTAAGTGCATTAAAATTGCATGTTTGTATCTAACTTGAACACTCAAAAGAGAAGGTCTTGATAAACTAATCCGGAGTGAGTCACGTGCCATGTGTATGTGAGTGTTACTGTATTCCATGTTGTACATTTGATGCCTAGAACTTGCCCTGTGTGTTTGCAAAACGAAATAGTAGCTTCATTCAGTTTTAGAAGTGATATAGGCATTTCTTTGTTGAGCCAGCCATATAAAGTAAACCCACCTGAATGCATTACATCTTAGTTAACCCCGTTGAGCCTATAAGCCTGTTTCTTTGGCAACCACAATGTGAACCTTACCCAATTGTTTGAATAGCCTGCTGTTTGAACCAATTTTCCTCTCACTAAGCGCTAGAAATGGTATTGAAAATATGCAAAAGCAAAAGTGTGGGATGGTGGTTTGGTTTTTGAACTGGAACCATAGAAATAGAGAAAAGGTGCAGAATGTTGAAGCATAAAAAGAGAAGCACCACGAAAAAAAAATATATAATATATTGTATGGTGATTGATAAGTGGTAGCTTGTACAAATTGCACCTAATTATGGGGATGTTTAAATAAATGTGGTGGAGTGTGGCTGACAAAACGATGATCTTGAAGTTTAACGTAATTGTATTAAAAGTGCTTAGGGAGGTTAGTCACTATATCCAAATATATCCTACCCGTCCCTTAGCCTACATTACAACCAAATAAGTCTTATTGATCTTCGACTGAGTGGGGCTCGATTAGTCAAGTACTACACTACGGGCAAGCCTATGGTGCATCTTTGTGGCATATGAATGTTCTTTTTGAGGGCGAGCGAATTCTGTCTATTTTAGTTCCTAATTGTTATCACTATCATTATATATGGAACTACTCTCTTGTGTGATGTGAAGGCATGTGATTCACAAAGGAAAGGTACGTCTTGACTCTTGTATAGAGTGGTTTGAGTAGGTGCGAATGTTACATGGTACGAAAGATTTGATTCTTAAGGTAAAGTTTGCTCACTACTAGGTGCAACTTTTGTGAAATGTTCATGGTGTGAGTCGTTGAGGGAAAAGCTTAGGGAAGGAATTTTGATGGAGTGTGGTGAATTGCTCAAGGACTAGAAATAATTTAAGTGTGGGGTGTTGATAGTAGGCTATATAGTTGATATTTACACCTTAATTGCTCATGCTTTGTTGTTGTTTTATAAGGTAAATTACCAACAAAATGCCTTAAATAATGTTATTTGGTTTCGCATGGAATATTATATGTGAGGAAGCAACAAGAAGTGTTTGGAGGCAATAATGTGAAGAAAACACCCACTCAAGAGGTACCCGAACACAGAGGAGCAGAAGAAAATGGCTTGGGCAAAAGTCCACCGCGACCGCGATGGACCGCGGTGCAACACGGGGAGATAAAACACAAAAACAGAATGGGCAGAGTTCACCGCGGTCGACAGCTGTCCACGCCGCGGCCGCTGTGAACTGTTCACGAACCTGGAAATTTGGGGGCCAAAGTGTAATTTCGGGGAAACTTTTGTAAAACCCTTATAAGCTGTAGAAACTCGCCCAAGATAGGGGGAGGCTTGTTTTAGACTACTTTTGGAGGAGGAACAAGTGTGAGAGATCACCCAAAAGCATTGTAGTTTCTTTATCTCTTTTATTTTCTTGCAATTTTACATTATGAACAATTTAGTAGTTTTCCCTTACTTTGTTATGAGTAGCTAAATCCTTTGTCTAGGATTTTGATGGAACCTATTGAATGATGAACTTCTTGATTATGTTAATATAGATTGCCAGTTAATCTCTATTTGTTCAACTACATATTTGTTGTAGTTAATTGACAGGATCCTCAATTAGCTGTGCCTATTTAGTGTGCATAACTCGGGAAAGAAACATATTTAGGTAGTTGTTGAACAATATCACTCCCAAGGTATAAGAGGGATCTATAACTGCGGGTTAAAGGTGGGATTAGGGATAACGAAGCCTTGGGTGCAATCTGTGAGCTGTAATAAACTAAGCTAGCTAGCGTATCTTGGGAGAGTGCGTCTAGTAAATTATTGTGATTACTCGGGAGAGATTTACGGTAAATAGAGTGCTCGTGATTGATAGAGATGTGTTGGTGAATTTATATGAAACATAACCGGAAGGAATTCCATCAATAGGGGAAATCATAGTCTTAGAACCTTCTCATAATTGTTTACAACTCAAGCATAGTTAGTTTTCAGCTGTCTATTTACTTTCAGTCTTAGTTATTAGTAATACCATCAACTGTGATTTATAAAGTTTGGGGAAGTTGATTCCATAGAATTGAGTACATCCAAAGAATGTAATTGATAGGTTAATTCCCTGTGGGTTCGACTCTGGGCATAAATACTCAGACTATATTTGCAACGTCCACGTGTCTTGTTATAAGGCATAGTTGGGCGTGATCACCGCACAAATATTTTTGACTTGTTTTAGACCATAAGTTTCAAAAGCCTTACGTTTTATATTTTTAAATCCATATCTATTCAAATTTCGCCATATAAAATTGAACGGAAAGAGTAAAACAACAACAACAAATCCAATGTAATCCCACAAGTGGGGTCTGAAAATGTAGCGTGTATGCAGACATTAATCCTATCTTGAGAAGGTAGAGAGGTTGTCTCCGGTAGACCCTTGGCTTAGGAAAGATAAGAAAGAAGGAGTAACAACAAACAACAACACCAGCAAACCAATCAGAAAATCGAAGCGAAAGAAACAACAAGTAATACCAGAAATCTAAGAATAATAAAATACAGGACGAACACCAAGTAATACACTAATACTACTAGAATAAACAAGATAAATAGCCTTCTACCTAATATTCTACCCTAATTCTCGACCTCCACGCTTCCTATCAAGGGTCATGTCCTCGGTAAGCTGGAGCATCGCCATGTCTTGGCTAATCACCTCACTCCAATATTTCTTCGACGTACCTCTGCATCTCCTTAGATCCTCCAAGACCAACCTTTCACACCTCCTCACTGGGGTATTTGTGTCTATCCTCTTTACATGCCTGAACCATCTAAGTCTCGCTTCTCATATGTTGTCCTCCAAAGGGACGACGCCCACCTTGTCCCGAATATCCTTATTCCTAATTTTATTTAACCTAGTATGCCGGCACATCTATCTCAACATCCTCATTTCTGCTACATTTATCTTCTAGACATGGGAGTTCTTAACTGGCTAACACTTAGCCCCATACAACACAGTCGATCTGACCACCGTGGTATAGAACTTACCTTTAAATTTGGATAAATTCGTATCACACATCACATAACGGAAGGAGTACAACATGTTAATGTAATATATCGACTAACAAAATAATGGGAAATCTTTTGCACAGCCAATATGTATAAATTTAATCCAAAAAACTTATAGTTTCATCGTAAACATTCCAAAAATACTTTCAGACTAATCCTTGATTTGGTAGGACACATGTTCAATGTCTTCAATGTCACTAGACTACCAACATATCCTTTGACAGTTCCAATGTACTTAACATTATTTTCGTTTTCCATTCTTTTTATCATTTTCCTTAACCCAAAAAAAAACTTATTATTATATGCTCAAGGAAAATAGTTTAAGTTGTAGACACTAAGTATAAAAGATATTTATACCATCATATTATTAAAATTAGGTAATTGCAAGCTATCTTTTTTAGTATACTAGTATTAATTGGTAACCTAGAATAAACTATAAGCAATTTATTATATCTTATAAGTAACATGTTAGATTACATTAATAATATAAGAAATTATTTACACTATCAATATATATAACTTAAATCCAAAGAAAAATATAAAGAACGAAAAAAAAAAAGAAACTCGGCGCCAGATGGCATAAACTGCCTAGCAAATACATACACCAGTATATACATGTGTGACTAAGCCAGAGATGGTTTTACTTTATATATAGTTTGTAACGCCTCCATCATTTGCACTCATGCAAGAAAACCAGCAATCTTTTTTCCCATTCCTCGTAGAAAAAGAAAAGAAATCTTGAAAATACAAATATGGTGGTTTCATCTAAACCAATTCTTGAAAAATTTTCTCACATTAAAACATGCAAACCCTATACTTCTGATGATAATATTCCAGTGATAGACATGTTAGACCCTCAAGCTAAATTCCATATTATAAAAGCATGTCAAGAATTTGGATTCTTTAAGGTTGTCAATCATGATGTTCCTAAAGAAACAATGACCAAATTAGAAGGTGATGCTTTTAAGTTCTTTAATTTGCCGCAGTGTGAGAAGGACAAAGCTGGCCCTGCTAATCCTTTTGGTTATGGTAACAAAAGAATTGGCTCAAATGGTGATGTTGGTTGGATTGAATATCTTCTCTTTGCTACAAATTCTGAACTCATTTCAGAGAAATCCGTTAATATTCCTGGAAACTCTCACCTTTCCTGGTAAGTGCAACAAACTCTTGAAATTTCCGAATGTGTTGTTTTTTGACAAAACCAAGAACGTGTCTTCTAACTATTTTTCCTTTTAACTAAGTATGCTATTTTTGTCCACGGATATTGCCGTTAGCAAATTTCTTTCTGCAACCATACTCTTTTTTAGTACTTCCTCCGTTTCATATTATTTGAGGTAGTTTGACTCGGAATGAAGTTTAAGAAAAAAGAAGAAGACTTTTGAAACTTGTGGTCTTAAAAGCTTAAGGGGTAAAAGGTTTATGGGGCCATGCCATTTGTGTGACTATAAAAACATCTCATTAAGGGCAAAAAGGGTAAAATGAAGAGTTTAAAGTTGAATTATTTTCAAATTTAAAAATGTTTCATTTGTTTTGAAACAAACTAAAAATGAAAGCACCTCATTTAATATGAATTAAATGAAACGGAGGGAGTAAAATTAAGAATATTGACTGGAATAGCCCAATTTTCCATAAGTCATTTATTCGTATATTCACTCATGCGACTTTCTTGAGTTACTCTATAGTGGAAAACATCGGTTAATATTTAATGTGTGTCGATGTGTTTGGCCATGACTTTACTTGAGAACACCGCGTCATTATTTGCAAGTTGAAGTATACAAAATACTGAATTTTAATATTTAAAATATCAATGAAATAGTAAATAACTTGTTCGAGTAATATTTGAAGCGAAACAATAATGATTTTCAGTCACAAAATTTTAAATAATTATCGAGTGAAACTCATGTTAAAACACAAATGCAACATTAAATACGTTTTTTTTTAAAAAAAAATCAACTTCAAATACTATTTTTCAACTTCAACCTGATATCATGCACACACCTACTTATATCTTATGAAGGAGATGTTCCACCTTCTGCGGTTTCTACATTTCGGATTTGAATATATAGGACTATTACTCCCTCTGTTCCAACTTATGTAACACTCTTTTCTTTTTAGGCAATTCGAAAAAGAATAAAACGTTCCTATATTTTTCAATAATTTAATTGTGAACTTATCATTTTATTCTTAATTTGATGATATATAGCCAAATAAAAATTTTACGCCTTATTTTTAGAGAAATTTTAAATCATTCTTAAACTTCATGCATAATCAGATATTACATAAATTGGGACGGAGTTAGGAATATATACTACTCCGCAAAAAGTGAACCCTAATTAGACAAGGAAAAGCACCATTTCTTTTATATTTTTCTAACTTTATTTTCCTTCCTGTTTGTATACAGGTCTGCTCTCAATGAATATGTGTCAGCAGTGAGAAATATAGCATGTCTTGTGTTGGAAATGATAGCAGAAGGATTAAAAATGGAGCCAAAGAATGTGCTAAGTAAGCTGCTAAGGGATCAAAAGAGTGACTCTTGCTTTAGGATAAATCACTATCGACCATGCACACAACTTGAAACATTGAGTGGAGGTAGAAATTTGATTGGTTTTGGAGAGCATACAGACCCACAAGTAATATCAGTTATAAGATCTAACAACACAACTGGTTTGCAAATCTGCCTCAGAGATGGGACATGGGTCTCAGTACCACCTGATCACTACTCCTTTTTCATCATTGTTGGTGATTCCTTGCAGGTAATAAAAATTTTCATGTCTATAAACCAGACAATCCCCAAGTAAATTAATCACCAAATGTATTTTTAATTGGGGAACGTCAGCTTTCACAACTTACATTCTAGTGATACTAGCATAAGGACAGTGCAATGCACAAACCATCTCGCATTCATGCACGGTCTAAGGAAAGGCCGCACATCCTAATACAAGCGTTAATGGTTGCTTTTATCGTTCGAAATCATGACCTATAAGTCACAAAATGACTATACGATGAGCTCTCAGAACTTACAGAGTCTAGTGGTACTAGTAGAAGACTTTCACTATAAATATACGTTGAATTCTCACTATTTGCTATCCTTTTCTAATCCTTACGATAACAATAAACCCAATTTAATTTCGCAAGTGAGGTCTGGGGAAGGTAGTATATACACAACTTTTTTCCTACCTTATGAAGGTAAAAAAAAACTGTTTTCGATAGACCTTCGACTCACTATTCGTTGTCCTTTTCTGATCCTTGTGTAGTAAAAAGAATTTAAATTAAAAAATAATAAAATGTCTTAGCTTATCAAGAATTTTTAATCCTAGAAAATATTTCTGTTTCTTTTTTCCTTTCCTCCCGACGTGGATTCTAGCTAGCGTTTGGACATACATTTGATTGAAACTTGAAAAAAGAGTTTTTGAAGTTGTGTTGAAAAATAATTTTTGAAAGTTGAAGACATGCATTTTATTTGAAGAAAAGTTGAAGTTTTGTGAGTGGATCGGAAGAAAAAAGTTCACTCAAAAACTGCCCTAAATTAGTTTTTGGGAACTTGGAAATTTTTGAGGTTTTTTCCCCAAAATATGATCATATTCCATAAACAAACAATGTTTCAAAAAATAAAATAAAAAAATAAAGCCAAAATCTATGGCCAAACTAGAGCTTAATTCTTGCTTATTCTTTACATCCCAAGTCTATGACGGTTTAGTTTCTTTCTTCTGTTTTTCTTTCTTTTCCCTCTTACAATAATTATTGTTTTTAATTTTTATGCACTAACAAAGAAAAAATATCTATACAATCAGATTATTTATATGACAATTACAAGTAAATATCTATATAAGCACAAATTTTTTTAAATGGTAGTAATCTTCTATACTTGGTTAATTAACTACGCTGATTTGGCAAAATACTTTTAACGTTATCAGTGTATACAACTTAAATACTTTTATCTAATTGAAATTTTTGGGTTTATTTTAACTTTGTTTCTATGTGGTTTAATGGCAGGTAATGACTAATGGGAGATTTAGGAGTGTAAGGCACAGAGTGTTGGTGAACAGTTTGAAATCAAGGTTATCAATGATCTATTTTGGTGGACCGCCTTTGAGTGAAAAAATAGCACCTTTATCTTGTTTAATGGAGGAAGGAGAAGAAAGTTTGTACAAGGAATTTACATGGGGTGAATACAAGAAATCAGCCTACTTGACAAGGTTGGGTGATAATAGGCTAGGATTGTTTGAGAAAAAAATTAAAGTACGACAATATGGTCATAATTTGCTAATTTAGGTAGGATTTTGTCATCCAATAGACAGGTTTGGAAAGATTTTGGCCTTGGTTGGAACCCCTAGGTAGAGAAAACCAAGATTTTGTTTTGTTGTTAATTTCATCACCTTTTGTGTGTGTGTGTTTAATGGAAAAAAAAATACCCCTGTATTACTATAATAAATATCATGTAATCATCATCGTGTCGTCTCTTTGTATGCTTGTGGTGAAGGCTTTGGTTTTCTTAGCTAGTTTAATTTCTATTGCGTGTGTCGTAAGTCCTACTTCCAATAGAAAGAGTAAATTGCCGGTACGATTCGTTAAATAAGAGAGAGAATCTTAGGCCGAACAAATCACTGGCTCAGAAGGGCTGCAATAATAACTTTCGTTCTAATGGTTCGCTTTGCTGCTAGGGTGCAATTGCTTTTTGTGACACTTAGAATGTACGTAATGTACACTCTTTTTCGCACCATAGGATTAAAATGTTTTACAACATGTAAAAGTCCACAGTACGGCCTTGGACGCAGTGATGTATTTTCATGCACATCGATAAGTATAAACAGTTAGTATTATTAGTGGGCGTTTGGACATAAGAATGGTAAAATTAAAAAAAAAAAAAAAGGAAAAAATATTTCAAGTGAAAATTGTATTTGAAAATTAGAGTTGTATTTGGACATGAATATAAGTTTGGGTTGTTTTTGAAGTTTTGTGAGTGATCTAAGTAAAAATGTTGAAAAACAACTTTTTGGAGTTTTTCAAATTTTCGAAAAATTCCAAAATTCATCTTCAAGTGAAAATTAGAATTTTATGGCCAAATACTAATTTCGAAAAAAAGTAAAAAAATATCGAAAAAATATGAAAAAATTCTTATATCCAAACAGGCTCTTAATTGGTTGACACGTTTTCAGACAAACACTTCCACTTGTATATATTCTTGCAGTTGTGCTCTTCCCTTCACTTGAGTCGGATCGAGTTCCATGTATATGGTTCAGCTAGGTTTGTTAGGCACATGAAGTATAACTTAATTTTTATCTAGCCTATATATATATATCATGAAATGCATGTCAGAATTATCTTCTAATTCTGGTGGGGTGTATACAATTACGGGTGGTTTAGTTTACTGAACCATGCTAATTCATATGTGCCGCGGCCTTTTTTCTCGCGAAATCGGATTTCGACATGTAACAACTCTTTTAAGGAAGGTGTTAAAAGAGATAGTCGCCACCTAACGGATTAAGGTGCGTTAGGGCACCTATTTGGAGAGAACTTTGTTTAACCAGTTTGCGTCACCAAAAATCGGGTAAGTGCTCGAAATTACCTCAAAGAAAAGGTATTAGGCACTCTTCGAGGTCCACAACTGTGGGTCCCGGCCGAACTTAATTATATGAATTAGTCTATGAGATCAAAGATAAGAAAAACAAGGAATATGGGAAGTTCATTATTAAACAAAAATACTTGACTGAAAGACAAGGTCACTACTAAAAAATCTGGTTTTAGCGACGGACAAATTCTGTAGCTAAATAGAAAAAATCCTTCGCTAATCTCATTTAGCGACGGATTAGCAATAGATTATTAAGAAATTCAGCTAGCTACAGGCGTCGACAGATTAGCGACGACATTCGTAGCTAATTCCAGTTTTTTTTGTAGTGGGGGGGGGGGGGGGGTATCCTAAATTTTTTAGCCTAAAGGATGACCCCGTGCAACATAAATAATACTTCGTAACTCCCTCAAGATGGGTGTTACTGATATTATTCAACGGTCACAGACTATCAACTCCTGCTACCCAATTACTATCTTTAAGTTGTTACCTAAAGCTCACTGGTTGATTCTAAACCGTACCATATGCGTGCACTACCCGTCCCATGCCTGTGGTCCAAGAGGCTTTGGACCTCTATTTAGGTAGTTCTAGACCTTAACTTAGGTTGCGCAAAAGGAAAAATACTAAGCGGCAGACAAAAACAGTTAGGACTTTCATTTATAAGCAAATAAGGGCTCAAATTAGCCTCCACAATTAGACAACAAATGCACGCAGGTCAGATTAACAAGGACAGTTGCCGATTTTACACTAATTAAAGTTATTGAATCCTATAGGCATGGTCTCTATGTGATTCTGGATTTTAATGGACAGGGAGTTTCATATGTAGAAGCCAATTCCTTAATGCGATTTCTAAAAGACTACGCGATCACCTACTGATTATACATTGTAAGTGGTTAAACGGAGGCATGATATCTAGGTGATTTATGCACAGTGGCAGGTCACAGATCCAGAATTATTTGTTGAATCCTATATGCATGCTTTCTAGTGAGAGTAACAGCACAGTGTTTGGAAACTTGTGAACAGACGGGCAGAAATGATAATTTGGTTGATTCAAACCTATAGGCATGCTTTCTACAATTTATTCCAATTTTAGATCATATAGACATGATTTCTATAATTTGCAAACAAAACGGCATGCGAATGAGGTTTTGCACACACATTGAATATACAATTTCCTGTAGGCATGGTTTCTAACACAATTAAACCAAGTATTGAACCTACAGGCAGAATTGCTAACATATAATGGTTGAACATAATAGGATACCTATAGGCATACTTTCTAACACACAATAACTGAACATGCGATAACAAATTGTTGAACCTATAGGAAGGATTTCTCCCTACTTGTTGCAAGTATACGATATCCCTTTCCCAATTTCACTAACACCCCAAAATATTATTACAATAATTATTACAGACCCAAAAATGAGTGTAGTGAATTATAGAATAAGTATAACTATAGGGAGCGTACAGCAGGCCCAAATAAACCTGGACATGCTAGGCCTTAAAATCACAATAGCTCTAGAAGGCCTTGTTCATAGATACAACATGACCAATGGTGAGTGATTACCCATGTTTCAAGGATAAGCATACAGAACCCAAATCTGTAACGTGTCAGAGTTTCCAAGGGCTTCAAGAACCCAGACAGTGCTCACATTAGAGAAATTGATCAGAAACAACTCAAGGAAGATTAGGTAACAAATCCTAGTGTGTCAGAGTTCCCAAGGGTCTCACATGGACCCCGAGCAGTGCTCACACTAGTGAGGTCAAGGAAAGAACCTAAATAGCCTTGGCTTTCAGCCAGCTAAGAATCAGGATTCAGAATAGCATAGGTAGCAAATGAGAGAGAGTGGGAAATGGTTAAGGGACAGAATTTTGAAAAGATGTACTTAATTTTAGGAAGCAGACATAGCAAAGTTTAAAACACAGAACAGTTGATCGAAAGGTCAACAAGACTTGGAAACAGGTTTATCATTTAGCAAAACAATACATAGGCAGAATCATATTCAAAGAGTTAGGGAGAAACAAATTTGCAGGATTTACAAAGATGGTCGTACACAGGTGCATAATACCAGCCAAGTTAAAACCTAAAAAGGTCCAATTTATTCTAAGTATACATCCCAATATCAAAAGAAAGCCATGTTAACTCACATTAGGAAACAAAACAACATTTAGACATGGTAGGGAAATACAAATTTGATAATTATCCTAGAGTCAAGTAATCACTGAAGGAATATGGAATCAAGTGAGCCAAATGCATGCTGAGAGACATATTAGCAGGGAAGCAAGTCACAAATTGTTACAAATGTGAAGCAGTCATTGCAGGAACTCAAAGTAGAGTAGGAAAACAGACTCAGGTTGATCAGTAATGTAGACATTCAGGTATTGCCCAATAAACTAATATGAACTTAAAAGATTCAATGCAACTGCAAAACTAACAAAGTTGCATACATGAGCAGTCCAGAATAAACTTAAGAGGTTTCACATCATTCAAGTTAGACGTGAACAGTCTCAGAACTAGAAGCATTATGTGAAATTAAAATACTAAAGAGATTTAAAACGAGTGTGAAGCTAACAGGGTTGCCCACAAAAGTAACTCAGAAATACATTAAGCCATAAAATTCATAGATGAGAACATATGCAGATCATTGATACATAGGAACGAAATTGCGAAGTCCAGTAACTCACCAGTTAGGCGAAGAACATGAAAAATAAAAGTCCACATTATTCTGAATATCAACAAGAGCAAGAACCCAGAATTTCGGTAGCCTTGGCTTTCAGCCGGCCAAGAACTCGAGTATAGAACAAGATAATGAAAGAACCACAGAACACAGCTTCAAATTTTAGTGAGATTATCATGATTCAGGTCTCGTTCTAAAGGGGAATGTGGAGGGGTTTATATAGTAACAGAGATTGAACGAGTAAACAAGGAAAACTGTAAAATCAAAAACAAATAAGGAAGCAATAACATACAGAATCAATTAAAGAATCAGATTTGGGGAAAAAATAAGTAAACCCTAGTTTTTTTAGGAAAACAAGTATCAACAATATATACATAAAAACAGTAGCATAGGATGAATATAGATATAAATAACACTAAAAATCAGATAATCGAACTAATTTTGGTCCGATCTAAAGAGATCTGAAAATCCTGAATTAGGGCTAGATGAATATTGACCAAAATATAAAAGAAAAATCAGGCAAACATATAAGGAAACAAAGTAGAATAAACAAGAAACAAGGAAAGAAAACATGCAAATCAATTTTGAAATCGATTTGAGAAAGAAATTCGGTAAACACTAGTCTTTTAGGAAAGGTGAAGACCCCAGAAATCCAAATGATATTGGACTCACATATTACAGAATAAAACGCGTGTAGACGAAATACAGTCTAGATTCTAGAAATGGAACTCATTTGGACAGAATCGGAGAGATAGTACTTGCCATGTTTAGGCAAGTGCTAAGTAATACCATGGAGAAACACCAAGCAGCGGAAAGATACTAATATGGTAAGGAGATGAGAGGGAAATCCCGTTAGAAGAGGGATTAGGGGAGGGTTTTAAGAGGCGGAGGCCAGGGTTTCTCAGAGAAGAAGAGAGAGTAGAAAGGATTTTAGGGCAGCGGATGGTGAGAATGGTTAGGGTTTGGGCGGGTTTGGATAATTAAAGAGAGGGGGTGAACGTGGGCCGTTGATCTTGAGAGATCAACGGCTGTGATTAAAGATAAACGGGGCGGATCGTATAAAATGGGTACCGACCGGGTTTTGTAAAGGGATGTTTGGTTTGGGCTTGAGATTACTGGGCTAGGGTGTTAGGTTTGGGCCAACAATTGGTCCGAAAATGGGTGGGTTTTTAGGCTAGTTTTTAAATACTCAATATTTAATAAATAAATAATTTATAAAAGTGATAAATAAATAACAAAATATCATTTATCCACAGAAATGATTTAAAATAATTACTTAATATTTTAAAAATATAAAAAATTATTTTCTGCATAAATAAAGTAATTATACATTAATATGGGCTATTATTGCAAAAATGTGCAATTTAACCTTAAAAATGCAAATGTAATGCACTGAAAATATTTAAGACCTCATATTGGTAGAAATGATAAATTTAGATGATTAAATCAAAATAATATGAAGGATAATTATTGGATATTTATGTAATAAAATGCAGAAATAAATTAATTTAAGGCTTTTAAAAATTATGGAAAATTATGAAAAATATTTGTGCATGCTTGTAAATCAAATGATGATGCATGTGCACTCTATACACATATATATATATATATATATATATATATATATATATATATATATATATATATATATATATATGTATATATATATATATATGGG